TAAAAAAAGTAAAACAGGTAAGTGCAATAAAAACCACGGTGCTTATAGCGCAAATGAGTATAAATTATTAAAAATAAAAAATCTCAAAAATATTCACTAGAACAAAAGTTATTTCATTTGTCAAATCTTTGTGGGTCACCCCGTATACTATAAACGAATTAACGCAGGTAGACGGACAGCGATGTGCTGTTTTTATTAACACTAACACACAACGTTTAACGTTAATTTAAAATATATATGCGTTTCATTCCATTGGAATATCATCCTGTATACTATAAACGAATTAACGCAGGTAGACGGACGTATATTATATCTGTACGACGTTATTATTTATCTATGATTATTATTATATTTTGTTTGGTACTTGTTATTATTATTATATCAGGCTTTCAGTAAAAAAAAAATGTAATTTTTTAATTTAAACTGCCCCTACTTGCCCCCCCCCCCTGCGGACGCCCTTATCTGAGAGGTGGTAATTAGTTTTTGTGGAAATTCTCCTCATCTATACATTTTTAGTCAAATATGATTAAGTTAAAACTGTTTGTGTAATGATATTTTATTGAATACGTGTACAATATACACTATACGAATAATACTATGAATAATAAAATAATAGTAATATATTGAACTACCTTATATTTAATTAACGTGTTCAGAAAGCTGGAAGTGTCTTAATCGAACTATGATACTTTTTTGGAAAACTACAAACTTAAAAATAGTGCTTTTCAAAATACCTACATTTATTTCTTAGTGAGAAATTTGTTGAAAAATAAATAAATGTAGCACTAATTTTAAGCTTCAAATATTTTAGAATCCCAAGGCTCCCTCCCCTAATCTCCGCTAATAAACTGTCAAAACGTTTTTTAATGTATCTAAAAATAAAGTTAAAAATAAGTATAAACCTATATGTACATGCGCTTAATTTTATTCATTGAATTTGCACAAGATAGTATTTACCTTTATACATAATAAATAAATATATACTTTAATTGTATTATAATAAACTATATTTTAAGCCTTTATAGATAATTAACTTATAGCTAATAATAACGATTTTCAATTGATATTTGCAAATTTTTCTTAATTATGTTCAACATATAAATGATTTAATATTGGTTGTTTATACAAGATTACATTAGATAATATTATGCATTCAATTTTATAGCGTAAAAACTTAACTACGCAGAATGCGTTTAATCGTTCTATTGTCGGCGTTGTGGGAAAATATCTAATATGTAACCGAAAACAAATGATATTAAAGAGATACTATCACATTTGATTTTTAGAAAAAAAAACAGTAAAACGCAATCTGCGTGGATATATTTTGGTACAATTAATGTAGTTATTAACGAACGTTGTTGATGGTCTGATAAAATAACTGATTGTACAAATAAATTTAGTCTGGACAAAAAATTACCTACGGGTACATCAAACTTTTTAATAATTAGGCTGTAAAACGTCCTTTTAACTCCGAATCCGAAATCCTATTATTTGTACATCTTTTAATGCATTTTCAGATTCGTCAGTCGTTCAATTATTGCTCTGTTGACTGTTTGTCTGTAGACATTTTTTAAAAAGTTTATTCAGGTGTTAGAGGTCTACGGCGTTTATACAATTAAAGCATTATACGCTTTTATTGGGTATCACAAACGAGGCATACACATTACGGTCGATTGCAGTCGCGTCTTAATTGTATATGGGTGTATCAAATATTGAATTAGTATAAGTTCAATTATACGCCTTTGCCTAATAATCAAAGAGCAGTAAAAAAATGCATTTACCATGTAAACATTAGGGCGGAATTGGTAATGAGATTCAAGCTTGTTACGGGGAAAAAAGTATTAAAGGGGATAAATAACGACAAATTGTCAGATCAAATAAAAAATAATATATTTATAAAAAATAAAACAGTGCGAGTGACGAGTGTTTCATACTTTTATAAAAATATATACCAATTTTTTATTTTCTATACAATTTTTTTTTTGTATTATAGACCATAAATATTTCATACCTAATTAAAAATAAATACAAATACAATAACTTTTATTATTAAATTTCATTTTAAAAATCCAAAACAGCTTTGTTTAAAATTAGAATATTTACTATGAATTTGTGTTACATCACTGTCGATTCCATGTGGTATGCAAAACGAAAAACCATAACAAATTAACCAACTATATAAAATATTTAGCACATAAAAGAAAGATGTAAGCTTTGCTATAATATAATATTAACAGTGAAAACTAATTACCAATCTAATGCATTTGATTTGGATATTGCGATTTAAGAGAGTTGTACAAACAGAACTACTGATGAACAGCTCTAATAATTAATAGAAGGTGCAGAGTTAGACTTTAAACAATGTTTAAGAGAAATATATTTAGTTATTATTGAAACCACGAATACCTTAGGTAATGTTGATCTTTTTTTGTATCATAACTTTAATAAATACTATAAAAAAGTTTAATTAAAAAAATTAAGAAAAGGTGAAATCGTAAAAAATTTATCCAAAAGCACTTACGATTTTTTTTAAATTGCATGTAGAGGAAACCAAAATAAGCATATAAAAGCTAACTATAGTTTACTAAATACTAAATGCTATTAGAAATATCGTTTGAAAAATTCAATAAAAGTTGAAAAAACGTGATTTAATGGTGAATTATAAATTTAAAACAACTTCCGTAGCGCAGAGTAAACGTTCTTAACTGGCTTTAACTGTTTGTATTTTTTTATCTAAGGTATTTATTGAGCTGTACTACTGGAAGTTCATTGAAATGTTTTTTTATTAAATTGTAAAACACATTCGGCATAAAAAAAAAATCGAACAATATTTTGGAGTACAGCTCGGTCATAGTTGGTTTGCTTATATAAAAGTAGTAAAATTGTAACTTTTTAGTTAATATACTTAACCTGACAACTTTCCAAGAACTTACAGCAGTTTAAAGTTAAATTTGGAACATTTAAAATTGTTTTTATAATTTTCAAAAGGGAGTAGTAACCTTGTAACCTTGTAGTTATTTATTTGTTATGAATATATCTATATATATATACAATTACATATTTTAAACACGTAGCGGTCTTAACTTATAGGCCCTAATAATAGTACAAAAAAGGAAGTTCCCACAAAAACGGTATATTAGTATTCTAACATCCGAGTTCGGTCTCTCCTGAAATAGCCATTCCGGGTTCACACTGAAAGAAAATTCTTATTCGCGTAGATGGCTGTCAAACGCCGAATATAGAAACCGCCTGGAGTGCACAAGCGGAAATCACTTCTCAAAGTACATTTATATACATTGACAGTATAGCTGTGGTCGATAGGGATAAAACCAAGTTGTATCAACAATTTTAAGTCACCGTGTAGAGCTAATAGTCATACAGTAGGTAATACGAAAATGAAATACTTTTATAAGAAGAAAATATGTCATTTCCACTGATATTCAGTAATAGCTTTTCCATTGTTGACAATTGAAATTGAAATAAACTGTCATCGTAGTAAAATGTTAGCACAGTAGGGGAAATAAGCAATTACGCTATATTGATTGAAGTATGAAAAAGTTTAAACGAAATAAAATCGCCTACCACAATATGTAATACAGAACGACGTAAGACTCATTTTCTAGGAAAATGTTTTTCCCCTAAACTTTGAGGTAAGTATTTTACTATATTTTTCAATACGAAAAAAAGTTTTGCATTTATCGCTTATAATAAAAGAAGTATGGACTTCATTTTTTTCAAATGAGAACATGTGCTTTTAGTTCCAAAAATATGTAGGTTTGAATTTTGAATTTTCATCAATCTGTTCGTTTACTATGACATTACAAAGATTTGAATTTAAGATCAATATTTCAATATTCGTTTGGTTTCTACAACAGTAGTACAATAGTTTTCCATTAAATAAAAATATTGACCCCCGTCGATAACACTTGTCACCGTCACTGTGCTTGAATATGTAGATAAGGTCCACTTGTCTATCATTATTACAAAACGTTTCATTATGTCTAGTTATTGGGTTCTCACATACAAAACAATGCGAACATAAATATGAATTTAGCAAACCGAAAACATATGATAATTGTAAGAGGAAATGTAATATATTTGCAAAGCATATAGCAAATTAACAGATTGACGAAAATGATAAAATTCAAACGCTAACATTGTTTGTCTACATATTAATGGAATTAAAAACATGTGATCCATACACGCATTACGTATAATGGATGAAGATAACTAACCTAACCTAACATACAAACATAGGAAAAACATTATTATTAAAACATTCATATTTTCTGAGACAATTATTGCCTTACATCAAATGGATACACTCTGTATATGTGTTATGGTAAGTTGTATATAGTACTGTCAAATTAAGATCAGTAACACAAATTTAATATAATATGTAACATAAACTGCAACTAAATAAAAGACTTTTACAAAAAAAAAACACTAATTTGTTTATTTCTTGCTTCTTGCGTGAAACACAAAAGTATTTTTTTCATGGGAAGTCTATAAGGTTCTATATGATGGTGGTGATCCATTTTGTGTAATTCCGGCGATACTGTTTATCGCATGCAAGCGTTATCACCAGGGTCGTTTGACGATATTAAATTATGTTATGTATGATTAAATATCAATATCCTTCATGAAATTAATTAAATCACGATTTAACAACATGTTATACCGGTAATACTATGTACTTCATATTAATGAACGGGCGTTCGTGAATTGTCACCTTCCATATTAAATTTAAAAACTAAGCCTCCGAAATGTTAAAACAGTTATAGGAAACTAATTTATTAGCTGTACCCGGTAGTAGAAAAAAATTCAAATATGTGTAATTAGTTGTAATAGAATGTGTTATAAATTATGTTGAGTTGATATTATTTTCAAACGTTGACAGTCTTTTGATCCAGTCCTATCGTCTGAGGTTGCGTTAAATATTAGCCCTTTGAGTGTTTTTTGTTTAATGTTTTGTGTAAACACCACGCGTAGACTACCAAAGGGATGTGGACGACACGAAAACGAGAATCAGAACGGGTGAACCCTTTTTTGAAATTTAACACCACCACGACCCTTCCCTTACTAGCTGCAGTCTCCCAGGGCAGTACCCGACAGTCTGTTATTAAATGTTAACCGAGCCGCACGCACACTCCGGTTAGGCAGTCTGTTAGCCGCGTAAATTTCGAAATTATGTCTACTTTATAATTTGGTCGACAACGAGCAAACTTTGAACCATCAGTTATCAGCGGTCCTGTTAAAAGTAAACGGTAAGTAAATCTCACATCGTTTTATATTTTTTATGTGCTAGTGTTGTATAGTTTTTTCTGGACCAATTACGGTGATGAGACAACGTCTGTCTATAATAATTTGTTTCCATGGTTACTTATATCGTAATAATAATATAATGAAAATATTTTCAAATATTTGTTAACTGTTGATTCATAAACATTAGTGACCTAGAAATTTACAACGGTCAAAGTTTATGATCTTCTCTGTTTTTGGGTTTTCCTTAATATAAAAAAACTTTGACTACAGATTTTTTTTTAAAAAAACCGTACATGCTCTAGATCTATCTTCAGTCTAATATTCAGACCTTCAGTCCTAAAACTTAGAAACAAAGGAAAACATTTCTACCCCTTTTTTAAAATAAAAGTTTTATGATATAAGGTATAATAATATTATCTTTTAATAATACCACGTATAAAAGATAAAGATAGCGACATAATCAGAATAAACAAAAATATTTAAAAAAAAAAACTATGCAGTCACAATCAACAGATTTAATTTTATAAAAATGATTGTGTTTGTTTAAAATGTATAATAATGTAATTTTTCAAATGGTTTTTTAAATATTTTTTCTATTTTTGTGACTGGACTCACGTTTACCCTGCGTTACTACTCTATACAAGTGTTACACCGCTGCTACTCTGGGTCTCCTGGACCCAGTTTTTCAAATTTACCTCAAATTCCCAAATATACTTCTAGAATATTTATTTAACATAGTAAAAACAAATTCCTTTTTTATTTATAATATACCGATAATATATACCGAGATTTGAACCACGGCTAGTGCGTAGAAACACTGCACAGTGGTCTAAAATCAAAAAACGGTGGCCAAAAATAAAAAAATAAAAATGGAAGATGTAATTTTTTTTTTAGGTTGTTACAATACTACTTAAGTTCTCTGAAAATTAAAATTAGAATTTAAAATATTGATTTGAAATTTTACTGACGAGTTGTTGAAGTTGGAAGAATCGAAAATAATTTGGTTGCTAATTCACGATTTTTATTATAATATATAATTATTTAAATTTTTTGGTAGTTAATTATTTTTTTAGGACAATTACATCATACTCAATCGTGATTTAAATGATTTTTTTCATCTAGAATGCATTTTACCCGGTGCATATTACAATTAGTGTAAAAACTCTTATTATAAAATCAAAAGATAACAACATTTTGCAGACAATATGTTATCGAATTAAAAAAAAATAATAGGAAAAAAGTTAAAATTATTTTGAAAAAGTAAAAAAAAGGTGATTTAAATCTTTAAATATTAGGTTTATAAAAAAAAGCTATGACATTGTTTCCAAAATCTTGTTATCCCCTCATTTTCGTTATAGGTATTTTGGTTTTAAATCGACAAGCAGCGATGGAACGCAATATGTGTAGGTATGTTTTAACGCTGGCAAATAAGATGTAATCGACGCGTCATAATGGGTACAATTTAAAATTATTAAACATAAATGTTGTCTACTGTTGTACTAAAACATAAATAAAAAAATTCTCAAAAAGAAACATCACAAATTTGCAAATATTTTAAGAGTAAACTCTAGTATAGGGAAAGAATAACCCGGTATATACTATAGTAAAGAGGAGCGAAAACTTTGTTTATTAAATAGCAAAATATATGCAACAAATGACAAAAATCTATTTTGTAGCCATTTTAAATATACCATCTAGTTTTAAAAAGAAAAAATATTAAGTTTTTCTAGTTATACAACATTAATTTTTTAAACGGATTTAAATTTTGTTTCATGTAGCTTACTATTTTCTCTGTTCGAGCTAAAATGCTGATTTTTGATGAAAAGTTATTAATAAGTAAAAACTTAAATGCTTTAATGACATTTTAAAAACAAAAATAAAAAATAGAAAATTTGCCGGTTTTTGTTCCATTTAATTTTAAGGTATTTAAAATAAAAGTCTTACTTGAAGTCGTGACTGATGTCGTATTCTTTTCTGTCTGGTATAACCATCGGGTGATATCGGATAGCTAACTGATGGCAGAAAATTTTATCCACTCTTGTTAAAGTTCCAACATTGACTACAACGCCTTTATCGGAAAAATTGAATATATGTACCGCCTCTGGGGTAGAGTAAGCGCGTAGAGCTATTTTTATCTGCGCGCATTACTCTACCGCACTCTACCTCCCATCGTACCCTTTAACGTTTAGTAGCTTAAAAAGTAATTATCAAAATCTAGTTATCGACCAGTCAACATTTTCATCAAACTAATCTTAGTAAAATGGCTATCTTGAACTAAAAAAAAAAATAAAAACATTATTTAAAAAAGTAAAATAGTTAAGTGCAATAAAAAACGTGTTGCTTGTAGCGCAATTGAGTATAAATTGATAAAAAAAATAATATTTTTTTCGTAACGTACTTATATTTGCAACAATTTTTTTAATGCTTTTAATCTGAAAATTCTATTTGTTATCATTAAATGTTTTAATATAATAAAAACATATTTAAAAAACCAGTGCAGTGGGGTCGGGGCATAGTGGGGACGGGGAGGTCACAGGTTTACAGGAATTTTTAATTTTGAAAGTGATAAAATCACTTCCGAAAAACTCCTTTGATGCAAATCGGTAGTTAGATTTTCAAGCCAGTACAGTCCAAACCAAGCGCAGTATAAACCAGCAAAGTTAGAAAGTATTAAATTGAGTGCATCTACTGTTTTTTTTGCAAAAACATAGTTGACCAAATAACACATATACTTGTTTGTCTTGTTATTTTACTATATGTCAATAAAAATAATAATACTCGGAACGACAGCGGATTGACACTCCAGATCAATGTTAAATCAATAACTGATTGTCGAATTACCGAATACCGACTACGTACAAATGTCATCACCCCCGACCTCTCTCTCATACACCATGGCCGGCTCGGTCCGATAAGGGGTTTTTCGTTCCCACCTGTACCGTGTACATGAGACGATGAACAGTTGATAACGCGACCAGGCTAATCGCTATAAACGTTTTCAAATAAATGTTCACTTAAAAATTACAAAATAAAAAACCGATTATCAATAAACAATATTATTTTAGTTTTGATTTTTGCAAAAAAAAACTCTAATATTTTTGTATTAAACTTTTATCGATTATCACTTTACAAATGTCATAATACCTGAAAAAAAATTGAATTTGTGTAAAATAAAAGTCAAAAGTGGTACTTGAGTACAAAACTTAGTAGTATCATTCTACATAGGTCAACATAAAATTGTTTTAATTATTTGATACATTTTTTTTTAAGATTTTAGGTCTGTTTGTTAAAATATACGCAATCTGCGAAAACACAGTTTTCCGGCTATTAAAAAAAAACTGTAGTGCCGAATTATTTTTCCGTTTAATATGTTATGGATACATATGAGTTCCAACTACTGGCAAATTTTCAACCCAAAGGTCTTAAAATTACGGCTAAAAACCCCGAAAAACAAAAAACCTGTACCCCCCTAGGGAGGTGGGAAATGGGTATAGTTTAAATTTGATACAACTGACGTATGTGGGCATACCAAATAATTATTTCTTATACATCTCAACTCGATCCGACTCTTTTTCTCGAAATCATAGCCAGTAAAAGTTCTAACTTAAAAACTCGTACGTTTTTTTTTTGTTTTTTCAAATTTCGTCTGTAAAGAATTAAACTTTTTCAACTTTTACCCCCCCCCCCCCCCCCCCAAAGTACAAACTAGATAAAATTTGTGATTTATAGAGTTGCTATTCGAAGGAATTGGTCAAGTATTAAAAAAGTTACAGTGTATACAGCGAAAAAAAAGCCCACATCAGAGTAAAACCAATACCTTCTCGCTTTGCATCGAAGTTAAAAATTAAAGGTTACAATAATATTTATGGAAGACTATAGATAGGTTATTTTTATACAAAGTAAAAGACTATAATAAGTTCTACGTTTTAATAAGGAAATTAATTATTTTTTTTTTTTTTTTTAAATCTTTTGTTGCATCAAATTTATTTTTTGCTTTACTAAAATCAAAACCTAGTTTTACGCCATAAGAAATAATCATTGGAAAAAAAAAACAATTATATATTTAATGTTGATTAATATAATGTATCACACCAAATCTAACTTAATTTATTATTAAATTACAAACGTATTTGTTTTTATACAAATTCACAACGTTTTATGAGCGTATTACTTAATATTTTTATGTTTTTATTAAATTTCGACCATGTTGATTAATTTACCGGTTAATTTATATGAGCTTCATGGTATTATTTTTAATTTAAATAATTTTGTCTATGAGTAAAAGCCATTTTAGTTAATATAATAGTACATTTTTTGTCCATCGCACAGGCTGAACCAGTAATCCGATAAGTAATCTGAAAACAGATTTGAATTTGTCATGAAGTTTACTTGAGATCGGTCAGCGTACTTTTTTGATATCTTATTCCTACTACGCATAAAACACGTTTGAACATTTTATAAAATTTTAAAATCAAATTTGGAAAGGGTTAAAACTAAAAATTGAAAAAAGTGCTCTGACCAATCTCAAGTAAACTTCATGACAAGTGAATTAGTAAATTCATATCTGTTTTTTGATTGCTTATCGGATCAATGGTTCACCCTGTGCGTTGGACAAAAAATTATGTGTTTCGGCTGAAAAAAACGGTCGGTATCCAGGGGCCTTAAGCTGCGTGACGTTTTGGAGTTGCAGTAGGAGGAGAGGGATGTGGGTAACTTTCGGAGGGTAATGCATAGCAGCAATGCATCCCACCTGTTGCCCAGCGTTATTGATTTATTGCGGAGAAACGCACCCTACTGGTTTGCCTTCCATTTATGGCCTTGCAGTTCTGGTAATATAATAATTGCATAATGATTTATACAGGTGGCCCACAATTATTTGACAAATGAAAAAACTTTTGTTCTAGTGAATATTTTTAAGATTTTTTTTTTTAAAATAATTTATACTCATTTGCGATATAAGCACCACGGGTTTCATTGCGCTTACCTGTTTTACTTTTTTAAATTGTTTTATTACATTTTCAATTTTTTTTCAAATTGAATTCATTTTATTCAAAATAATTTTTAAAAAAGAATGGGTGAAAATCTCAAAAATATTCACCAGAACAAAAGTTATTTCATTTGTCTAATCATTGTGGACCACCTTGTATATGAATAGTTACAAAACTCAAATATGCAATTAAATATTTTATTAAATAACTAATTTAGGAAAGTTTAAAACACGAATTACGCTACTAATTTGTATTTAAAACACTGTTGTTTTATTTGTTAGTATTTACTGTGGTTTGATTTAGTATAACATTACTCCTTAAAGTATAGTTCTAGAAGTATCGCCCCAATTTGTTAAGTAGATTTTTATACAAGAAACTATGTTTAACATTTTTTTCTGTAATGTTGATTTAGAAATTGAGTTAAGTATACTTGATTTAAATATTTTATCTTTATTTATAAATAATTAAACTTAACTGCTCTTGAAGATTTTTTTTTCTTTGATGCGGAGCTGAAAAGTTGTATTTACAATGATGTGTTTTTATTTATTTATTTTTTTTGTGTCTACCGGTCTTCTAAGCCACTTATCCGATTTGTTCGTATAGCAACTCTAAAGATTAGAAGTCGTAGCTGTTTGATAAATTTAAGAAGTGTATCCCTTTCCCTTTAAAATGTAGAAAAAAAAATTGTTCGACCTAAAATTCGTATCCACCATTTTACTAAAATGTATTTTTAAGTAAATAATTGTCATTAGGTACAATGCTTTTAACAATATTTTGTATTTTTGTCTGTAAATACTGGACTTACCTTACTTACTCACTACTACTAATACTAATTACTACTACTACTCACTTACGTGCTATACTTTCTTACTATGCTGGTTTATACTTGGTTTGGAGTTTGGACTGTTCTGGTTTGCACAAACTACCTATCCTTAGATTCGCATCGAAGCGTTCATTTGAAAGTTATCTTATAACTTTTAATTATAATAATTCCTATATAGACATATGACCTCTCCACCATCCTAATCATAGATAACAATACTTTTTTTTTTTATAGATAAATCTAATTTTATTATAAGTACTATAAAGTACGAACCAGTATTAACTAGTAAAAATTATCTACATGCAATAATTCTTAAAATCCATTTGCGAGAATCCCGCAAATCGATCGTCATTCATGTGCACCGCTTATATCACGTTGAATCCGTTATCCGTCTTTATTTATAAGTTATGACCCTTTGTAAAATTTTCAAGGGGATTGATAATAACGACTTTCTATTTTATTATTCATTACGAACTCCGTACAATGTAATTTATTTCGCCAAGTTATTTCCTGATAGTGTTCTACGGCAATTATCTTTCAATTTTTTACCCCATTAAATAAAAAAAACAAAACAACCTTTACCACAAAATATGTTTATGTTATGCAAAATTACACATTTTGCATAACATAATGCCTTTTTCTATAATAACCTCATGCCGTATAAGCTTTTACTTTGACAAATGTTGTTATCCAACGATAAAGAAATTATACTTTATGAAAGGTTGTTAATTTTTCAATATTATGCAAATTGAATTTTCATTCTTACTCCGTCGAGTGTATTTATGAACCTTAATTGAAGTCGAAAGTGTTAAATTCATTTTATAATATACCCATTTTGGTTTTTAAGAGGACTAGTCGCTAAGATGGTTAGCGTCAGTGTACACTGTTTGCCGGGCGAGAGAAACCGTCTGATAAAAAAAGGCCACCCTTCTCTTATTCCCCGTCTCTGGCGACAGACTGACGCGGCGACCCTTCCCGGATAGCGATTTTTTTTAGAAAGGTGTAAAGGTGTGTACACTTAGGCAAACTTTTAGCAATTTCTAAATTTGATTGCGGACGAAGCTAAATCGCATTATGCCTACTTTTTTTTTACAGCCTACCAACCGATTTTATTAAATTTAATTGAACGATGAAATACCACTTGATTTCTATTTGGCATTGAGTATATAAGATAATTATATACTCTTTATCCGGTATATTACGATAAATCTTTAAAAAAAATGGTGTGGTCAATTCTACGTTGAGTATACTATAAGTTTTTACATTCAGGGGGGTTAAAATGTTATGAGTTTATACGTAATTAGTTTAATTAATAGATGGTGTGTGCAAAGTATTCCGCATTGATACATTTTCCTAAAAACGTTTAATATCTTATAAAATAATGTAATTTAATGTGGAATTTAATTCAAAATAGTCTCTCAGCTCTGCATCGAAACTAAAATGTGATATTTGTGGTTGACACCGGCTAACACATTTTCATGTTAACAAAAATTGTTAAAATTAATTAATGTGGCAGATAAATTATCTGTTATATTTTGAAACTATCCTATTTTTTTGTATACTTCAAATAACAATTTTATTACCCATAAGGATTTGACCTTTCTGATATATATCTTCTGAAAATTATTATTTAAAAATAAATCCTTTTCAGAATCAACATTTGTTCTTCAGCGGTGTATAAGACTTTACTCTAATGATCATAATAGGGTATACCCTACAATTGTCAAAGTTAATCTCATACTATAATAATAGATGAAGTCCTAGTGTTCTATTTCTCACTTTGTTTAACGCACATAGTATTATATTGTTTAACAAATCTTTTGGACTTTATTTTAAAAAACAATGTATTTTGTTTCCGTAAAACTCTTGGAATGTTTATCAAACCCGGTTTTGACTTAATTAAAAATGATAATATTATATAAGCTAAGCACTTAGTTAAAAAATCGATACACATTTTATTTGTATTCACATCATCAATGTGACTTAGAAAATAATAAATATTATGTTATTATTTAACAAACAGCTAAGCAACTATGGTTATTATAGTTAAAAAAAAAAGTTAAGTATTTCAAAAACCCTAAACTACAAAAAATAATTAACTTTATAGTTTACGCGTATTTTAGTAGCAATGCTATCATTGTCAGGGCTTACAACAGATTTGGTCTGAACTTTTAAATATTTGGTTATTTTAATTCTTATCCATCATGTTATAAGAGGTTAGTGAAGTGTGGTGAAACCACCATTATATTTATATACCATTCGGTTCAGAAGAACGAATAAAATTTAAAGACAATTTGACGACAGTCAGTTTTGGTTCAAACAATGCTTTTTTTGGACTGTGATTGGTTTAGAATATGCAGATTTACACTGTACTAATTTTTTGAATAGATTTTTATTTTAAGTTATTACTAAAACGTTTAGTTAAAACAGCGATAGATATTTTGTTTATACGCGAAGCTATTAAACGTCCAAAGATGATATTTACAAATTATAATGTAAAAGTTCGAATTTATCATATTTTAACAAGTTTAATGACAAAAACCTTATAACTGTAAATAATACGTTATTATTTTTTTGTTTTTGCAGGAACCTCATTTACAGCCGTCAATTCCTGGGGGTCCTGCTGAAATACAACATTTCTCATTATTGGATTAAGACAGTTGTGGTTATAGTTAGTATAAACGAAATTACTGATCATTTTAAAATAATAATTGTTTTACCTTACCTTAGGAAACTTGAATAATGGCAACCGATTCTTACAATTTTCACCGACTGGCAACATATCTTATGTTTTTAATTTAATAATCGTTCGTGGTAAGTATAGCCATAAATAACGATGATTAAAATAATTATTAATTTTTGTATTTTTTTAATGAACATAATTTACAGCGACCAATTTTTGTGACATGCGCTGAGTGGCTACAAGTCATCTTTTTTTAATTAGAATAGTCGTGTTTGGTGAGTATATACATAATAATTGGTTATTGTAAAATTTTAACTTTTTTTTTCTTCCCCCAGGAAGTATTTATTTATAGCAACCAATCTTATAGCTGCTCATTTCAACTATTGTAGTTATCAAATGGAGTATTTGCTGTCAATTCATAATCTGGAATAATTAAGAAATTACAAGTATTTCAAAGAATTCAATATTCTTTATGATTAAGGTTATAATATATCAACCTAACAAGATGTGGATTAAGTGGAAATTATAATTTGTTTATATACTTGTAATAAAATATTTGTTCATACATTCCAATACTTTTGAATATATTGTCCTAAATATATTAAAAAAAAAAATTAGAAAAGGCAGAGTAAAAAAGGAGGAGAGTAACTACTCCAAAATTAATTTACTCAAAATTGTTTGTTGCGCCTTGGTTCCAAAAGAAAAGTCTATTTAATTAAATTGTATTTTTCATGGTCTCTTCGGTTTATTTAAAATCTATTCTAGGAGAGTTACTAATTTAAGGGAATGAAAATCCCTTTTACTGTTTTCTGCGGTAGGTAAATAGGGTTCCAGAAAAAAATGTTACCTAAAAACCATATCATAAAAATTGATCGGTTTTTAAAATAAACTGTGTACAATATCTAAAAGTTAACATTTAAACCTTAAAAAACTACCTAAGTGTACCTCAGGAAACTCTGTCTTATTTTAAATACGTTTTTATTCATCTTTTATTTAGAATGTACCAATGGGTTAAAATACTTTTTAGAAGTATCTTTTTACAAGACAATATATTATAACTGTTACGCTCTAAAAATACCCTAGAAAAACTTTTACAACAAATATTTCATAGAAAAAGTTACTAGTTAAAAATACATTTTTTTAATTTAAAGCCCTCTACAGACAAAAGTTTTATTCGTGACGTGATATGCAGAAAGCATATCCAAAGTTTATGAATGTTTGTTTATCAATAATATTAGAATACATTTAACGTGCTTTTAAGTAATCTAAATTTTAGTTCTTGTCACTAATATTCCGTCTCTTTTTAGATTATACCGCACTATCAACACTAAACAATTAAAGAATAACATAAAAATAAGTTACAGTGGTTACAGACAAAAAAATCATTATAAAGTATGGTTTAATGTTATAAATTATATTAATAACTAACTAACTTAGAAAATGATTAAAGGTTATACATTATAATGCGAAATAAATTGGATACTCAACGTTTCTGGGCTCATAGAAGTTATTTAAGTACACACTTATGTTGGTCTGTTATTAAATAATACTATCTATAATATAATCGTTTTACTTTTGGTGTGTACATGCATATAATAAATATACATATAGTATATTTAATCTATGGTACATGTAAATATGCACTCCACAATGCAATATTTTAATTTGGTTTGTTGTTTGTAGGACACTGGATTAAAAGTGGACGCCTTGCTAAGAGCTAGTGGCCGTCTTTGTTAAATCAACCGATTTATGGAGCGCTTTTCATGCAGCTTATAACAATTAAAAAACTGGGAAAGCTACCTATCCCTAAGAAAAGATGCTTGGAATTGGGAATACCACTCAAAAAATTCTTCGATGCGAATTTTAGATGGTAATATTATTAAATATCAATATAAATTACAATATAGACATTAGGTATATGTGTTTATGGTGATAGGTTGTATGTATTTTCGGAAGACATCAATTTTCTCGAAAAATAATTAAAATTGTACGATTACTTAGCCGTCTACAGTTATAATAAAATAAAAATTGTTTGATGTTTGATAGAGTCCCACCAACCTAATCTAAAAAACAAAACTATAAAATTGACTCGAAAAAAAACGAAATTTGGAATATTATGGCTGAATTGGAACAATGAATGTTTTGAGAATGAAAAAAGTGAAATAAGATAGTTAAAGTTTCCAAGTAAATAAACACACCCCTGGACCTCATATCCTCGAAATTGGGCTTATTGAATTATCGGGTGAATGAAAAACTAAACGTTTTAGAATCTGACCTTTGAGTAATTAAGCAGAGGATAACTAAAAACAACTTAAAAAAATAACAATTTTTTTTACAAAATTTCAATAATGAAAATGACACTATTTGCCAAATCACCCTTATACTAATATATAAGCAGTTAGTGATACGTAGTTATAATATTATCTAATAGACTGGGCCAAAAAAAATGGTGCAATCGGTACAGTAGTAAACAAAGAAGATATTAGACTTTTTTCATTTTTTTTTTTTGTACTATTATAGTTATTAGGCGGGACAAATTTTATGCGTTAAAACCATATCAACTTTGGATTTTTAAATGGTAACCCCCAATTTTTTTTTGATGATCGTGTTTATTTTTTTTAAATTTAATTTTAGGCGTAAAAACTAGGTAAATCGATTGAGTAGTTAACGAGCTACACAGTTTTAAAATTAAAGGGAGTGTAAAAAATAAATTAAATATCTTGGAGACGCTAACATATTAAGGTGACACTTGACTGCTCTCTGTTATTATTTATTGACAATTAACTTTGACAATAGCTATAGTAGCGTTTAAAAATCATAACCGTACCAAACACTATTTACTTTAGGTAAATAATTCACCGATAGTAAATAATAATGATAACCGCTATATCGACTGACAAATATACCACCACTACACACTTTTACATTTATTTTATAAAATAGTAGGTATGTTTAATTTGTTATCAATACCTTGTGTATATTTTTCCAGCATTTAGCAATTATATGTTTTGGTTAATTTGACACATTTTGTTCATTCATGCGATTTGTACGTCTTAATTTCATAGTATATTATAATAATATAGTATCATAACTTACTAGATCTATGAACTTGTCAACATTTATTGTGTTTTAAATAATAACATTGATATTAAATATCCATAATCAATGTGAATACCAAGATGGAGTTTTGCTCAAGTGACAAGTCTATAAAACCTATAACCTTACTTATAAAATGTATGCACATCAAATATCAAAATTAAAGGTACTTATAATAATAATATGTTATTTAAAATAAATAGAGTAATTTGAATTATGCTTGATGATATTTTAATTGAAACTTTTATTCTTACAGTATTATGTCTTTGTTCTGAGAAACTTATAAATGTGTAGTTTTGTGTTTTAATATATTGGTATCTGAATTCAAAGAAAAAATATAAAATTTTTTATGAAAAAATTGAATCTTCAATCATCATTTACTGAATCAACAATAGGTAAGATAATGTATGTATTAATATAGGTGTATTGTATAAGTACATTTTTTTATTAGAAAAATATAATTAATCGTTTTTCATTATTCATGAACATATAAAATGTTTTTACATAATAAGTTTTTTTGGATTACTTATGTTTATCATACTTAATATGTTTAATTAAAATGCGTTACTTAAAAATTAACGTTTAACTTAAAAATTATCATACTTGTATAATTATAAAAAATATATGTGTATACTGATATTTGTTGCTTAACCATATAATTATTTAAGTATCTAAGGAACTTATTTAATTTTTTTAATTATATGTTTCAGTATGTTCAATATTAATATGGACTATCTCAACTTAAATTGATATTTGTTATTGTCTACAACTACACTACTACCAACGTCAAATTTGGTGTATTATATTATTGTAGTCAATCAGTCTAATCTTATTCCATCAATACATTGTCAAATGTTGTGGTATTCAATTTTCAGTAAATTTATAGGTGTTTTATTTTAAGGTAAAATATATAAGATCATCAGTTTGCAATAATTTAGTTAATTTCTATGAATTCATCTCTAACAATTTATTATTATTATTATTTTTTTAGTTACTTTGGCACACTATTGCAGATAACGGTTTTCCATTAAGTCAGTAAGAAGAATAAGATGGATTCACAAGTTCAAATCAAATATTAGACAACTATATATATTTAGTTATTCGGTTAAAAATGTAATTTAATAAAATAATTTAAAAGTACTTTATCATTTTAAAAGTGACATAAAGTTTTTAAACACACATATACTTAACATATCTATAATTATTATACATTATTTATTAATTATTAATGATGAATTCTTTATTTAATATTAATTTAATCTAAAATGCTGCTGAGAATGTTAATATTTCTAAAATATGTTATTGTCTTAATCCAAATCTTGAAATTATTTTCATGATGGCATAGTTTTGGCATTAGCTATTACAGAATTTATTGACAACTTTCTAGTGGTTTACGATTAAGTTTTTATAAGTAATAAAGTAAATAAAATTATAAAACACAAAATAGAAAAAAAAAAATGTTAACTATTGGATTAAGTGTAAAAAAGTAAATTGAATGAATATACTTATAAATATTTTTTAACTTAAATATGTAAATGGAGATGGATTTCTTCTAGTGGGAAATTATCAAACAAACTTTACTGTCCAAGGTAACTTCCTATAAATACATCACTAGATACAGCAATATGTTGTACCTCTATTATTTACAAGTTAATTATAGATATGTTAATTTTATTTAGTCTTAGTTTTTCAATATGATTTAGCAAATAAAAATGTTTATTCGTATCTTATAAGCGTATTATTTATCTTGTTACTTGTTTTTTTATTTTACTATTATCATAATAAACATAACATAATATAGTATTTAAATGTTTGTTAGTAATATTATTATTGAATTTTAAACTTATGACTGTTAAAAAAGCCATACAAAAACAAAAAAAATTGTACTTTTTCATTGTCACTCTAAATTTTTGTTTATACCTCGTACAACGAAAAAAACAATCATTTATTAAATAAAAAACATACTTTTACTCTTCATATTATGAACACATTAAAATAAGTAAGAATAGTCAATACTATGAAATATATACAGTATAATATAGTAGTGTAATATAATAAAGAGTTAATAAATAAATACAGCTTTTAATAATTAAAAATACTGAACTAGAAATAGTTAAAATTGACGCGTTACAACTTTAAATTATAAAAATGAAAATTTATTTTAGTGCACAAGTATTGGATGAACGTATTTCTTATGGAATCCTTTGTTATCTAAACATTTTAAGAATCACACTAGATGCCTTATAAAGATGTTGTTTGACATCTTAAGTACCTATCATAACCAGTTCAGACAAATGCTAAAATAGTTTCTGTACATATTAAGTTTAGTTTTTGTTTATTTCTGTACATATTATCTATTAACTGTATGTAATACAACATTATACTAAAAAAACAAAAAATTGAATGTTATTTATTAAAGTTTTTTTAAAAATATTTTCACTAACAGAATTAATAATTTGACTAGTTAAGACACCAGTACAAGTAACACTTATTAAGACCAAGACGCTAAATATTTAAAGTAAAAACCAAGACGCTAAATAACCATAATAATTGAAAAATTAGAATAATGAACTTTTTTATTAGTTTTCAAGTAGTCGTATTTTTATAATAATTTGTTCTGTGTTGGTATTAATCTACACTAGTAACGAATCGTTTTGGTAGAACCACGGTATATACTCTATATAAGACCGTGATTAGACCACGGTAACCTATGGTTGAAATTGAAAAAAAAAACTATTTACTAGGGCTCATAATATTGTTTGTTAACAACAGCTAATGCCTAATATTCAATACGTACAGGTACACCGCACCGCTAGGAACACTACAGAAAAAACAGATAAGAAGACATTACCCATATAATATTGTTATAGATTTATTATTAGTTCGTTTTCATTGTGACCGACGACCGTCAACTATTAACTTTAATCTACAACCGTATCGTTAATCAATCTTATTTTGTGAAACGTGAGATCCGGCGATAAACGATTTTTTTCTTTAGCTGTAAAACTTATAAAAGCATCTCATATAAGCTAATATTATAATATTATAGTACTAAGCTATAACTTTAAAAGTACTTGTCTGATTTAGCTAGTTTTTACGCCTAAAATTAAATTTAAAAAAAATAAATACGATCATCAAAAAATAAAATTGGGGGTTACCATTTAAAAATCTAAAGTTGATATGGTTTTAACGCATAAGGGATGGTGTTAAAATTTTGAAAAATACATTAAATTTGTCCCACCTATTAACTATAATAGTACAAAAAAAAAAAAATTAAAAAAGTCTAATATCTTCTAAGATATTGAGTAGTCCATAGTTAACCAATCACCCGGTATATTACAATTAGAGGAGGAATGGCCGAGTGGGTAAGGTGGCAGTGTGTTAGCGCTTACTGTCGCCGGTTTGACACCCGGTCACAGGCACTCCGTTTGCTGGGCGAGCAATCGTCCGGTAAAAAGGAACCGCCATCCCCCTCCTCCGGTGACGGATTGACGACCCGTCCCGGAAGCGAATTCGTCAAGAAACCATCTTGATGGCAGCATTGGGCCTTAAAAGGCCCGCTAAGCTTGATGGTTTTATATATTACAATTAACTAAAAAGTGTTCAACTTATTAAAACCTACTCCTAGTTTTCCGTTACAAACGTTGGTCGTTTACGGTGTTTTGTACGCGGTCATCCGACCGGTGCACTACAGTGATAATTATTATGATTATTGCGTTTGTGTTTTGAAATTGGGCGCCAAAACCAAAATAGGACTCCGACCGGTCACACTGCTTATTATGTAGACATTTTGAGGGGAAAAAATGAAAAAAAATTTTTCTGTCGCCAACTAATTTTGGAATAATTGAGTTAAATTAAAAAAAATAAACACCAGTACCTCAATAAACTACAGCACCGACTAAAACGACTAAAGGGCACCGGTCTCACTACTTTTCGGTTTACCCAAGGCGGTTGTGAATCACAACACGTGTTGGCAATATAGTAACGTTTACCGAAACCGGAGACCTCCGGTTTGACGGATTGACTTGTAAGTATACCGTCTTAAAAATAATTGACTTGAGCGACGATTGACGGCGGGTGAGCACACCGCGGCACACGTGATCCAATAACACATAATATATTTTGTCAGCCAGACACCGCGCAGACTTATATGTAGACCTCTGTATATAGTTCCAAGTATATAAGTACTTGCACAAGACCGGTGACGTGTTAACGTATACAACGATTTGTTTTTAAAAAATCGATCAGCACATAAAAAAACACCACGACGTCGTCGTGTCGGCGATGATAGCGTATAATCCTCTAAACAATATTTCCTTATAATAATATTACTATGACGTATCTTAGGACAATCTTAAGATCATGGGCCGTCGCGTACTACCGCACAGCTGAAAGAATATTGTGACCCACACTGCAAAAGCAAGTACTTTGGGTAAACAACGATTTAAAAAGTTGTTGTAACAAATCGAGTTTCGTTTGCATAGAGTTGTTTTCTATTCAAATCTTTACTACTAACCTAACCGCCACCACGTGGTATAGGTAGGGTTAAGCGGGACAAATGTAAAAGCGTTTTTTTCAAATGTCAGTAAAAGTATTGAGTTAAAAGTATTTGTCGACGGTATCTAAAAATAGCTTCACTACATATGTTCTGTTGTATAACGGTATTAATAAAAAAGATCCGATAACATGCGATATTTCTACAAAATATATTTGCATAAAAAAACAAACTAGTAAACTTGTGAAATACAAAATCATTTTATGATTGTATAAGTGTTGTATATGTGTATAAGACGGGTTACGCACCATGGCTGTGGTGTACAGCTACTTGGAGTATATACAATTATTTTGTACAAAAATAATATAAGTTATGTGAAAATTGTTAATGTATGATAACATTATATGATATGTGAACGTTTCAAATGAATAACGATATAAATTACAATGACACTGACGATTATCCATACTAGAAACAGCGGCAGAAATACCATGATGGTCAGTAGTTTCAGGAACAGTGCATAAGAAGTCAATATAAGTATCAAAGGTGCAATAGCCGTGAGTAAGAGTACCAGTATGACAATACTAGCAAAAATCAGCACAATAGCTACTGCACTGACCACAACTCCGTAACACACCTTTGCGAATAGGCCTTTGCCCATTTCTCGGATGCCAGTCAGAAAGGTCGTTCCAACAACCTGTTAAATAGATTTAAAGAATACAGCGATAGAGTAAAATTCAACAATTAATTTTAAACTTACAAGTTCTGGTCGGTGGGGTAGGTATATAACTGTTAAAAACAAAATAATATGTAAATTTCTATGAGAAGTTTATTACCTGTGTGTCGACCTGCAGGATCGGCAAATTTGGTTTTCCAAATTCAATAAGTGAAGTTCTGTCAAGGTTTTTGACTTCGGGCAACACCATGCCAAAACCCGGGTAGGAAATCATATGTGCACTGCAGTGTAAATGGCGGCTGTCCATCGTCAAATTCCAAATGACTTGTTCTTCCTTATATAACTTTTTGAGAGAGGTATTTTATATTTTAATAGATTTCGGAGAAACTTTTAAGCACAAAATATTTAAATTTCTATGAGAAGTTTATTACCCGTGTGTCGACCTGCAGGATCGGCAAATTTGGTTTTCCAAATTCAATAAGTGAAGTTCTGTCAAGGTTTTTGACTTCGGGCAACACCATGCCAAAACCCGGGTAGGAAATCATAAGTGCACTGCAGTGTAAATGGCGGCTGTCCATCGTCAAATTCCAAATGACTTGTTCTTCCTTATATAACTTTTTGAGAGAGGTATTTTATATTTTAATAGATTTCGGAGAAACTTTTAAGCACAAAATATTTAAATTTCTATGAGAAGTTTATTACCCGTGTGTCGACCTGCAGGATCGGCAAATTTGGTTTTCCAAATTCAATAAGTGAAGTTCTGTCAAGGTTTTTGACTTCGGGCAACACCATGCCAAAACCCGGGTAGGAAATCATAAGTGCACTGCAGTGTAAATGGCGGCTGTCCATCGTCAAATTCCAAATGACTTGTTCTTCCTTATATAACTTTTTGAGAGAGGTATTTTATGTTTTAATAGATTTCGGAGAAACTTTTAAGCACAAAATATTTAAATTTCTATGAGAAGTTTATTACCCGTGTGTCTACCTGCAGGATCGGCAAATTTGGTTTTCCAAATTCAATAAGTGAAGTTCTGTCAAGGTTTTTGACTTCGGGCAACACCATGCCAAAACCCGGGTAGGAAATCATAAGTGCACTGCAGTGTAAATGGCGGCTGTCCATCGTCAAATTCCAAATGACTTGTTCTTCCTTATATAACTTTTTGAGAGAGGTATTTTATGTTTTAATAGATTTCGGAGAAACTTTTAAGCACAAAATAATTAAATTTCTATGAGAAGTTTATTACCCGTGTGTCTACCTGCAGGATCGGCAAATTTGGTTTTCCAAATTCAATAAGTGAAGTTCTGTCAAGGTTTTTGACTTCGGGCAACACCATGCCAAAACCCGGGTAGGAAATCATATGTACACTGCAGTGTAAATGGCGGCTGTCCATCGTCAAATTCCAACTGACTTGTTCTTCCTTATATAACTTTTTGAGAGAGGTATTTTATGTTTTAATAGATTTCGGAGAAACTTTTAAGCACAAAATATTTAAATTTCTATGAGAAGTTTATTACCTGTGTGTCGACCTGCAGGATCGGCAAATTTGGTTTTCCAAATTCAATAAGTGAAGTTCTGTCAAGGTTTTTGACTTCGGGCAACACCATGCTAAAACCCGGGTAGGAAATCTTATGTGCACTGCAGTGCAAATGGCGGCTGTCCATCGTCAAATTCCAAATGACTTTATCTAGTCCTGACTGGCACGTTGTTCCAATCAACACAACGACCATCAACACAAAAACAGTAAAATACAGTTTAAACATATTGTATTAGCTGTAAGAAATTCTTTGAAACAGGAAAAATTAGCAAAAACAGTTTGGAGAAATATGTTGTTTTACACTGAAAGGGTGCGGTGAAACAAATGTAATATTAACATCAATAATAACAGTTACTATATAAACAAGCCGTTTTAATACATATGTACCTATATTAAGAGTATTTGCCAGCATATAAATAAGTATATAATGTTTTTTAAATAACACATGTGCTACTTTTTCTCTTTTGAGTGCCGTATTCGTATATGTTAGACTTATCTTTTAAGACTAATTTCCAACTCGAAAATTCTAAAATTGCGCATAAAAAGAAAATAACGCACACATTTTATGAAAAAAATTGTGTTTTATTTTATAAAATATTTTTTTACACCAATTCCTTATAACTATAGATATATTGTAGGAAAATGTATTTATTATTTTATCGGGTGAGCCCAGCATTGGTTCACTCTCAAAATAATTGTAATTTTTTATTTTTGTAAACATTTTTTACTACAATATTGAACAATATTTAAATTTTTATCTTTTTTTTTTTTTTGGCATTTTCTAGAGCTTTATCGACCTTTAAAACTATATATTTATTTAGTTAACTATACAGGGCGATCCAACTAACGTAAAACGCTGATTTTCTCGGAAAATATGAATATTTTGAAAAAACATGTTTTCCTATTCTCTTATGCATAAGTTATACTACATTTTTCAATGCTTTGAACATTTGTATTTTCGTCCTTTATACGATTAAAAGGGTCTAAGTTCACGTTTTAAAATGGCAACATATGTTTTTAATTCCATAAATTTGTAGGCGAAAAATTAAAAAATATGTTATCGTTTGAATTATTAGTTTTTATCCATCTAGTCGTTAGCTATGACTTTGTAAAGATATTACATTTTCTCTTAAATATTGTTATATTTCTTTGGTTTTCCAAAGACCGGGAGCCAATAAAATACTTATTTATGATCGCATTGTCCGATAGATGAGTACACAGATAACCAAACACAATAAAATGTTTTGTGATATTTTGGTTGACCAACGATTCATATTTATTGATTACCGACTTTTCTAACACACCGTCATGACAGGTAGGTTGACGGACCTATATTGACAGCGGCTAACGAATGGCTATTTAACCAAAACAATCAAAAACCGAGTTGGGGGTAGTTTTTTTTTAAGAAATGATAACGCGTGATAAGAAATAAATGTTACATAACATGTCATGATATCCCTGACTTATACTTTATCCAAAGTATTGGAAAAACGTATAATAATCTAAAAATAACGTTTTTATGCGCCTTAAAAAGTATAAAATAACCCTCCGGTGGTCTTGATAACCAAATAGGACAAGTGAACTAGAAAAACGTGGGGCGAATCTTTCTACTTAGATATTAAAACCTAAGCTTTCATCAATGTACAATGCAGTTATTTAGGAAAAATAATTCCTATTGAACTAATATATTCTGACAACAGTATTTTATACGACCAAGTTTCTGATAGTATCGACTCCTTAGGATATCTTGAAAGTTTTATATCAAAGTTTCAAGAAAAATATATATGTAAAGGAGTTGATATAAAAGAATAAAATATTATACTTAAAACACAAGTTACAAATATTGATACTTTAATAATAATTGACATAATAATTGTGGTTGGTGTTATTCACCAGGATCACTACTGTTGCGGGCCTAGTCTGGTAATGTGTCGTTCATGATGATGGTTGATGTTGATGTCCAATATGCTGTAAATAGATTTAGTTCGACATAAAATTAGAGAAAATAATAGAGACATTAAAGATTGACGAAGAATTATTTACAGTATACAAATATGTAAAGACGAGTTAGCCGAAAGAGTTAGAAATTAATATTAAATATTCTGTTAAACTAAGAAATATTAAGAATCCTCTTAAGTGGGCTGATTTCAAGGAGTTTTATTTAGGCAATAACTAAGAATAAATTGTTTTTTTAAAAAATGTACACCATGTCAATTTATTGACAGATTTATTTGTAAAAGTATTATTATTGTTGGAATGAAATCCTTATTCAAAAACTTATCAAAATAAAATTGGTTTTAATATTTTTAAAATATGAAAAAAAAAAATGATATACTTACTTATGTAAATGGGCCTAACACTCGAATAGTCCTGGCCGTGGCTCTCTGATACTTCGTTTCTGAAAATTAATTTTTTTTTAAATCAGGCTCATATTTATTATACATAGTTTCCAGGAACTCTAGGGTGTAAGAACTAAGATCTGAGACACAAATGTTAAGAAGGGGATAGACAACTGTAAATAATAATATACAAATATAAATCATAATAATTGTGTTGGTTTTATGCAGACTTCCAAGCTTCTGTCAGACAAAAATATTTATAGTTTATATGGTGGTAATTTTTTTAAAAAATGTACATGAGTTATCAGGTTTGATCTAGAGCTGAAACAGTTAAATGGCTGCGGGGAAAAAAGATCAATGTCAATTATTGTTTATTCTGAGAAAATCATGTTTTTAACTTCAAAACGTAATACATTTTGCTTGTATGTCTAAATTTCCGGCGGTCGTTACTCTCGATTAATCTGTTTTTTTCCTTTATTCGAGCGCATGAAAAATACAATACGTCAATACAAATAATTTGATACCAAAATCTTATTTTCAAAAAAAAAAAAAAATTGACATTGATCTGTTTTCCCCCCAGCCCCTTCAGTTTTTTAAATAATACAAAGGCATTTCTATAGTGAACAATTGTGAACTCGAATATTGCATTAGGAAAACTATATGAAATGCAGTTTAATGACGTTGTCGAGTTCATAGGGAAGTGTGACGATTTAGTAGTTGACTCTGAAGAAAAGGTACATTATTCTATTTACAAGTAAAAATACTTAATTATTTTAATGAAGGTTGTATACTTAAATACAAAATGTATATTTTAGATATTTGATTTTATCATTGGTTGGGTAAGCGTTAACACGAATGAACGAAATCACTTGTTACTAGAATTAATGAAACACAAACGGTTGCATTTAATTTCAAAAGTGGAACTTCGTCAAATTTGTAATGAAACTTTAGTGGGAAAAAAACAATATTAATTTATTTTAATGATGTCACTCTAAAACTGTACGGTATTCACATGTAGGTAATACATTTTTTTATATTTTGAATATGCCCAGCAACGTACACCTCTAATTTGTTATACATAATACTAAATGTAATAGTTGAATTATTGTTGGACCGTTTGAACGAGTTGTTGTTTGGCTCTGCTCTACTAGTAAACCATATCTTATCAAATATAGCCGGCATACAGGGCCGTACTCACCTGGATACGATCTTTAAGATGAACTAAAAATGATCTGATAACGAGGTTTCTTGAAATACTCCTATTTATCCTTTTTTTGTTCACGCCATGGTTGCCATATAATTGTTGTCTGTCCGCTTCAATTGTCCTTTGTAAATTTCTCTTTTTATCTTTAATTTCTTCATGTAACCTTGAAATTTACAAATTTTATAACATTAAAATGATGCTATACTATATTCAGAATAAGAACAGGCTTCGGCGGCCGACCAGTTTTCGTCGGGCGGCAGTGTTCGTGCCGCCGAAGCCTGTTCTTATTCTGATTAGAGTATATGTTCAAACACATTTTATTTTTTTATATTGAAAAGTATATTTGCCAAATGTATTCAAATTGAGGGGAAGTAGTCATGTGACTAACAGTTCCCCCTCATTGGTTCTGTATATTTAATAGAATGTATTTAAATGTACATTTTTTGTAAATATAAAAATAAATTTGATAATTTTTAAAAAACGAAAATTTTTGAAGCTTTTGTGGATTTTGAACATTGTTTATCATTAATTAATTTTTAAGTCAAATTGCACCCCTGTCACCCCATCGAATATTATAGATTAATTACGACGTGACGGTACTTTTGTAGATGATTATATCAAATTTAGTTGTCCAACTATATTTATGTTCAGTAACCCACCAAATGAAATTCAATGAAAAATCTTTCATAGGTTTTGAACATTGTTTGTCAATAATGAATTTATTATGAATTATGAAACCGCTGACAAAATGTCTAAAAAAACTTACCGCTCTAATTCCATTTCTGCCGTAGACGGCAAAGCGTCCTCTGCAGTCTGAAATATATAAAAAATTAAATAATTAGTGTAAACTTAATGTGTAATAATATACTATTTTAATTACTCTATTATAATTGTACAAATCAAATTGTTTTTTTTTTTATATTTTACTGCAAGTGTATAGGATCATGGTACATAAAATGTGCAACCCGGACCGCTCTTATTCTGAATACAGTATTGAAATAGTAGAAAATATCGCAGACAAGTTGGGTATAAAATTGTCAGTAACTAAAGCTTTTCGTACGCTTTCAAACATTTTAAATAAACCAAAAAAAATCACAAGATGTCACGAGGGTGATCAATACCAAATTAACAATCCTGCGGGGTCACAACCAGCAGAGTCTACAAATGCGATCGATAAAACTCAAAATTATCTACTGGATGGCAAATATTACAAAATACTGTCGGTTGACGGATCAAAAATTACTGTTAACTGTCAAATTATTTTTATTATTTGTGTTAGATAGATATACTATTATATAAACTTTGGAAAATATGTTAAGTGTAATATTTGTTTGCGGTTTTAAAAGTAATTCATTTGTAGCAGTTATCAAATTTTAATATTTAATTCTCTGCTAAGTATATATCATAAAAGTATATAAGTATTTATATAAAATGTTCACTCATACACTTTCGTATAACATATTTTATGAAAGTTAAAATATAATTTATCTATTTTTCATCTAGATAAAATTGTATTTATCTTTTATCTTTTAACTAGATAAATGTTAAATGAATAATTCAATATCTTATCTAGATGAAATATTACTCAATTGTCCGTTATCTTATCTAGATAACTTTATAGTTTTTATAGAAAAAAAATGACCGCAAGTCAATTATGTGTCGGCTGGACGCCTCTCGCGCAAAAAAACAGGTGCGTCGAATAGCCGACAAAACGGCCCGTGCCAAGCGAACCGAGCATAAATGTAGTCGGCATACAGGGCCGTACTTACCTCAGGACCACTTTCCAGATCTTCTATAAAAATTTTTAAATCTTGACATTTGGACAAACACAATCTTAATTTTTTATTTCTGGCCCTTGTTAGTGGGCTATTTTCAGTTACTGCTAAAAGTCTTATTTCTTCGTAATATTGTTGACATTTGGTTATGACATGTTGCTTTTCTTCTATTAGTATGTTTTTAATCCTTTAAATTTACAAATTTAAAAACATTAAAAAGATGTACAAACATAGGTTATTAGGAAATAGATAAGCATGCAAAACCAAATAGTTAATACTAATTTCATTTAGAACTATATTCAAGCTATATAAGGTTAGTAAGTACTTATGTTCTAACATATTTTATTTTCTTATTTTGAAAAGTATATTTTCCAAATAAATTCAAATTGAGGGAAAGTAGTCATGTGGCTAACAGTCCCCCCTCATTGGTTTTTTATACTTAATATATTGTATTTAAATGTACATTTTTTATAAATATAAAAATAAATTTGATAATTTTTTAAAAACGAAAATTTTTGAAGCTTTTGTGGATTTTGATTATTGTTTATCATTAAAGAATTTTTTTTAATTTTATATAAATAGTTATTTTTAAAGAACCTGAAATTATGAAACCACTGACAAAATGTCTAAAAAGACTTACTGCTCTAATTCCTCGGACGCTTCAGTGGCCGTGGCCAACCGGTCATTTAACGGCAAAGCGTCCCTTGCAGTCTGAAATATATAAAAAATTAAATAATTAGTGTAAACTTAATGTGTAATAGTATACTATTTTAATTACTCTATTATAATTGTACAAACCAAATTGTTTTTTTTAAAAATATTTTACTGGAAGTTTATAGGATCATGGTACGTAATATGTAAAAACAGATTGACAGGTAAGCCAACCTATAATGACCTCCACTCCCTAAATCTATTGAAGAAGTTCAATTAGTTCTTGACGAACGCGGTGTTCAAACAAATAGATAAGAGTTATTTGTATTAATAAACAACAAGGAGTTGAAATGTGTAGTTTTCAGTTGCGTTTCTAATTTAAATACTCTTGCAATAACAAAATGGTTTTACATGGGCGGTACATTTTCATACTACCCTAATTACTTCACACAAATGTTTACAATACATGGTTTTATCAACGGCTATTATATAACACTCGTTATATGTTTACTATCCAATAAAAGTACAATATCTTGCACTTTTTGCCTAAAATCAATTTGTGAATATGGTTTTCAAAACAATATTACGATATCACCGCCCGATGTTGTAATAGATTTCGAGAAAACTATTCAATTTTCATGTAAAACTGTTTCGCCTTTAGATAAAGTTATACGGATGTCGCTTTCATCTAACACTATCGTGGAATATATGATGATAACATTATTTTCAGCTAATTCATAAAATAACAATGTTACTAACAAGAAGAAGAAGAGACTTACCTTATATTCAGAAGACTGTTCCAAACTTTCTACAGAAGCTTCAGCGTAATGTGTGTTTGGTAATGTTGCCTTAGCGTTTTGGTTATCATCCTAGGTTAACATAAATAATAACACATGTATAATTAGTTGAAAAATTGTAATAAAATTGTAAGCTCAATAAGTCGCGAAGCGATTGAACAAACCTTTTAGAAAACACGACAAGGTATGTACTATATACAATATTATAACACTGTGTAATAGTAAGTCTAGAGGCAGGAAGTGAGTTCTTGTAGTAAATATACACACATACACGCCCCGATTAAGAGACTAATTTATAAATATTTAAAATAGCCATTCATCGCCACTTCCCCCTTGCTTTTCTTCTATTACAAATCTATTCCAAGAATTTTCTAAAATCATTGTGGACAGAGGCAGTTAACTTAACAATGTTTGTGTTAAAACGCACAGGTAATTCGGGTCAAGTAAGCAAATCTCCTTATGAATTATGGTTCGAAAAATCATGTAAAATAGACAAGTACATAGAAAGTAAAATATACAAATCCTATACCTATACCTAGTTTGCTAACTATCAAATAACAAAACAAAGTACCTCCTATTGTACCGTTATTCCACTTCTAGTCCTATATTACTTAACGGTAATTATATTGATCAGTGTACCTGAAAAGTTTAGGATGTACAAAAAATATATATAGAAATAATTTAAGTAAAATTGTATGTTGTAATTATTATGATTACTTTCTGGACGTTGTTTACGGCCGTTTACCTTGGTTGACTAAGTATAAAGAAGAAAATTAACTATCAATATTAATGTTCTTATATTCTAAGAACATCCCTGTTCGCATACATAAGTTTATGAGGAAAATATACAAGTAATCGACTCCTATCAGTATAATGTGTTATTTAATTAGAAATATTGAAGTCGTAAGTATAGGTTGTACCTATAATAAAATACGTTTAGAGTTTTTTGTTACTTCTGCTAATAAAATAAAATGTAATAAACTCTTCATATTTACTTTTTGGAATTCCTATTTAAAATTAAACATAATATTTGTACTATTGTTTTATTATACCAAATAGTAGATACATTTTTTGTAATTAGATCCGAAAAATAAATCTTTAATAATATGATGTTATCTATAATTATCTCACTTATCTCTTATCGGCGATTGTAAACTGCGCCCAAGGCACAGGTAAACACAAAATCATACAATATGTAAACTGCGACCGAGTTTTTATCAAGTGTAAAAAGGTTACATGTTAACTGCGCCCGAGTTCTTATCGAGTGAAGTTAAGGTTCATTTATACTATTTAATTAAATGTAGGTATGTTTCTATTAAAATTGCTTTTAACTTTTCTAAAAACATAAAAATATTTGGATGAGTTGTTTAAAAACTAGAACTAAAATGGGTATGGAATGACTCGCATGCATTGATGGTTAAAAATGGCTCTTCTGATGCTTGAGCCATATTTCAGGTGGATACTGACTTCTACACACTATAATAATCTACTAAATAATTCGCAAACGTGTCACTCTTTCGTCGTCGGGCTTAGATATCATTAAATAATTTATAAAATACTCAGATACACTGTTATGAACCCCTGAAATATTTAGTATTAATTAGAGTAGTGTATAAGTTATATTAATATTTCGCAATTGGAGCAACAGAGGTAGACGCGGTCGGCCTAAAAGAATGTCTCTATTATTTTGAAACCGGGGAAAATCTATAGTATCTAATTACAGACCAAAAGCAAAACTCGCTCCAATTCTTAAGCTTTTAGAAAAACTCATAATGTCCATTCTCGCACAGACATTTAAAAATACCTTAGACTCCAATCGACATGGTTTTTTATCTGGCAGGTCGACCGACACTAATTAGATTTGTTTTCTATCTAACTTAATAAAATCTAGGTAAATAAAATCTTTATTGTAAACTCAATATTCTACAATTTAATGTACATGTATAAGTTATAACTATATATTGTAGTGGCGATGTTGTACTGTATTATTGCCTTGATTGCAAATTGGAATAGTATTTCCGTAATAAATATTATTATTATTAAAACTAAGGAAAATGTGGTATTTTTGTAGATATTCTGTTAGCCTGAGTCCTGACAAATTTAACAAATCAGAATTTCAAGTGTTCCATACTACCTTTAAAAAATGCGGTACAATGATATCAGAATAAGGAATACTGTAACGTAATTACAGTTAGGTCAGTTTTTGACTTTTATATAAATCATAGTAGTAAAATATAATAAAGGAGCAGATCCGCAAAAATATTGAAGCACAGCCAAACTACACTTTCAGGGCCGCGACATTTGATGAATCAAATTTTGCCAGGTAGACGGGTAATTTGTTATTCGGGACATTCCATCACTTTGAACTCTATGGTAATATTATTATAATCAAATTTTATTGAACACATACGTGAGTTAATTTAATACAATATTATTTTCAAGTAATTGAGATGCACGGCGTGAATTTGTTTATTTAACAGTAATATTTCCTTCCGTTTTCCCCGCGAATGTGTCATTCGAGAAAAATTGAAGTATTTACCATTTACTTATAGTGCTAAAAGAGGCCGTTCACTTATTGGAAGACATTTATCAAACATCTACATGCAACTTGATCCGGGTGAATTGAGATCAAAGTTAAATCGTTACTGTAAATCGAAATCCCTTACAATAAGTTTCATTTATTTTTTTCACAAACTTAAATTTATTTTGTATATTTTCCATCCAAAAATATGTTCTAACTATAGCCTATAGTCCTATTTAAAAATTTCAGATCATTTCCCATAATTTTGTGGACTGGTTCTCTTCTGATAAATGTCATTTCATTTCTAGAAAAAATTGTGTTATTTCGTTGATGTTTCTGTTGCCTGTGTGCAATCGAAGCTTATATTATTATATTCATATATACAGATTTTAGTAAGGCGTTCGACTCTGTTAACCATTCAATCCTTATTTCTAAACTTAAATCCATAGGCATCTCTGATCCTCTTCGATCCTGGTTTAGCTCTTACCTGTCAAACAGATGTCAACAAGTTAAAGTAAACGACCATCTATCCTCACGTTTTCCTACTACCTCTGGAGTTCCCCAAGGCGGTCACATTTCTCCTCTCCTATTCCTTATTTTTATTATGGACATTGTTATACACAGTTAGATTAATATAAATAATAATATTCGCTGATGTTTGTTATGAAACCCAAATTACACGAATGACAAGTTGTGCCGGTGTAGCACTCGCGTATGGTAGACAATTGCACCATATGTTGCATGGAGTTTGTTTGGTCAACACTGGGCGTGTCTGAATAATTAGAAGCAGGAGATAACTCATTTTCTTTTTGGCCGTGTGGCCATATCTGATCATTGTGCCTTAGTCAGAACCATCATTTAAAACTACTTTATGAGTATTATGACTAATATTATCAGTAATTGTACCCTTCGGCCAATTTTCACCTGTTTTTCTGTAATCTTTAACTAACACACCATCCCCCTTATCTAAATTTAAGTCTCTTTTACCCCCGTTTTTTATTTGTGTTACTTGATTATTAATAACTACTTCGTTGGTGTTTGGTATTAATAAATCAAATAGTGTTTGTGTCGAATGACCCAACATGAGTTGAGCGGGAGATTCGTGTGTTGTCGGGTGAGAAGGGACCCCTGTTAAATGCCTAATACCTAGTTTTTTACAGGCGTGAAAAGGCGTGCATTCGGACTTTACTTCAACGTCGGACTTGTTTCATGCTATAAAGAAGATGGCCGTCATATGTCTGATGTAATTTTTAAAAAATGAAATGGTACTCATTTACATATCATAAAATATTAATAAAATGTTTGTACATCTAAAATATACTGAGTTATGTCTATCTATTTTTGACCCTACTCGTTGGCAGCGAGGACACGCTGCACCTTAACTATCGATTCATTGTTTTTCACAAACGCGTCGTACGCAAACACACGGTGAACGACACTCCACTGCGCTATAGTGATAACTAAATGGCATTATCTGACGGAACGAATGAGCTTATCTACCCTGCCTACTCCCATTCAATGTTGAGAAAAACCCATCTATTTATGTCCCTATTTCCGTGGCCCACCCTGTATTATATTGTATTAAACTTATATATATATATATACATTATAATAATAATGTACGAATGTGTTAAATGAAAGCGACATCCATGTATGTTTATCCGAGGCCAAATAGCGAGCGAGTGCTAAAACACTCGGAGATCTGCCGTCCTCATTATCAATGCTAATTCCACCTGCTGACAAGAAACCTCGTCATGGCAATTTATGCAATTTGGTAAAAGTGGTAGAAACCCTAAAATGTTAATATTCCCGTGATTTTATTGATTCGGACGCTGTTTGCATTTCATACCGATGACGAGAAGCTGGGCGCAGCTTACATGTAGGTACTAATCTTTTTCCACTTGATAAAAACTCGGGCGCAGTTTACACATACGTTTTTTAAACCAAATTATAAACGGGGCGCGGTTTACGTATGCCCAAAAACTCAATAGATAATCGTTTTCTTGCACCCGGCCTTAAAGGTGCGCGTCCACAAGTCCGCATCGGACGGATTTTAGTGTGCTATAGCCAATACTGGAAAAATTGTACATCCGGTTGAAACGACCCGTCCGATGCGGACATATGGACGCTTACCTTAACACGTAAAGATTGTCAGCTGGCCCTGGACAAGCGGAGTTGTGTGTGCGACCGTTTCCCTAAGTATGACAATGAATTATTTTTGAAATTCATACGTACGGATTGTAACCACCGAGAGCAGCAATAGTCAACCAGGTAGGCACAACCGAACCCCGCCACAAATCCGCCGGCCGCATACAATTTAAGTGACATCATGTTTCACAAAATCGAGTATGTTGCTGAGACGTGATGACGAATAACGAAAAACTGAATACTGTTATAAGAATAACGAAAAACTGAATACTGTTATAAGAATAACGTAAAACTGAATTCTGTTATATAATAATAAATAACAACCAATAATACCTAACAATGATTTAAAAAGCCAATATTATTATTTATTCTATTCGGATAGCTTTTAATCAGCTGTTAAAATTCCGAGCTTTTTAAAAACCCAAAAATGTTTTTTTTAATACATTTCATAACCAATACTCTTTAATGTCTATACAAATGACCAGGCCATTATGGGAACTACTCGTCGTTTCCTGTATGCCGACGATTTAGCAATAACTGCGCAGGGGAAAACTTTCAGTGAAGTGGAACACACACTCGCACATGCGCTGGAGAAATTGGACAGATTCTATACACAGAACTCACTAAAACCCAACCGAGCAAAAACGCGAATAAGTGTATTCCAGCACAACCAAAATAGGTTATTTTTTGTTCGCGGCTTTTGGCGATTTAAATAAAAATTGTAACATTTGAATTTAAAAAACTAGTAAACGAGTAAAACAACATTTTTTTTTACTATGTAATAGTCATAATATGTCAGTAATATGTCATAAGTGTAATTAATCATTAACGTGTATTAATAGTCCTACAACTTTACAGGTTGAATTCTAAAATAGTGCAATTATACAAAACAAATGTGTGATTCAATCATCTGTACGAGAAGTATAATAAATGATGTAAAACATAAAAATAAATAACATTTATATTCGCAATTTGAAGAAAATCCGTCACGCCTTTACTGTGACCTGCCCTTGTTAGAATATGGCTGCTGTTTTTCGTTTACACAATAGCGTTCAATCAGCCAATCAGAAGGTCCCATTTGAGCGCACGCACGTGATAGGCGGGTGTGTGCCATTTTGTACGATAAAATTTAATGTTAGGTATAAATTCAGGGTTGGACTAGCTCACCGGACATCTCAGTTCAAAAACGTTGGGCCTCCTTGTTCAAAAGTTGTATTCAATGATTCAGTAAGTGAATAATTCGATTTCTTTTAGTAATTACATTAATTTGACGGTATTTAATATTATGATGTATTATAAGGATGAACCGACAGACATACAGGCTGACATTACTGGACTGGACAATTTTCATCCTGTTAATTCAATAAAAATATTAAACATTCCAGTAAGTAAATGAATTAACAGTTTTATAATTTACTTGAATTTAATTGTTTAAAAAATAAAATGTTTACCTATACGATCAGTCAAAATTCAAGGGCTCACCAGAAAAAACAGACATGTCTATTTTTATGACATGTAGCGAAGATTAAAGAACGAGTAACAGTAGATCAGAAGAGCCAAAGGAGAATTTTTTTTGCATTTTTTGTTAATTTTTTTTTAAGACTTTTTAACGGGCATTTGAGTGGGCACCGTATGAAATGCGATATCTGTAATAATAATCCAAATTTGCCTCTTTCCAAAGACAAAAGTCCTATTTATTCGAGTCGTGTTCGGAATAGTAAATGCAGCTAAATTGTCTACATCCAGCCGTATACCGGATAATAAATCCTTTTGGGGTTCTCTAATGGGATTTGTCGGGCAGCACGGGGTAGGAATTGTTTACAACAGTAATTAGAGTCGACGACGTGCCTGCTAAATCAATATTCGAAAATGTTTTCATATTATATAGTCATAATTCATATATCTATTTGAATAGGTATCGTTTGGTATGAACGACCAAAGCAAATTAGACAACGAATCAATACTGGACAATACTGCATTCCAACCCACATAACGGAAATTTTTCAGTTCAGTTTTTTTTAAAAATATTATACCTAAAATATTGTCATTTTGTACGTGGAAGCAAATGAGCTGGAGAGAGAGAGAGAGAGAGAGTGAGAAGGAGGGATAAACAGGGATATTGATAGCAACGTAAAAAAAGGAAACGATCCGGAAAATATTAAACCGGAATGGGGCGAGAACATAAAATAAAGGTCTACAAAAGTTAGATAAGGGCAGATCATGACCGAGTCGTGCATTCGGAATACATTATATTGTTTGTTTAATCTCTCGAATATAGAGTGCACTCTTATCTTGTCAGTGTTTTAAATATATTATATTTTGTTAGTTTGTCCTATCTCATAATATTCTAGTTTAAAGCCACCTTGACCGAATTCTCTGACCTAAAGACGGCGTACCCGCGACATTTATGCATTTACTTGAAAATAAATAAGAAAAAGTTCAATTTTGTCAAATTATTTTTGTTATATTACTTGTCCACCCTCTGATTGGGGTTCGTTTTATTAGTTACCACGTTCAATCGTTCTGACTGCATTTTTTTTTTTTTTTGAATGGAGTTTTTTTTTTTGACATGGACATGTCTTATGGCAGGGGGTCGTTCACAGTGCTGACGTCATTAAGTATATATATATATATATATATATATATATATTTCTTCTGTCCGTGTGTAAGTATGCAAACTCCTCTCGATTAATGACTTCAATATTTTTTTAAAATTTTTTTATGTCAACTTTTTTTGAGTGAAGTTAAACGGTTCTACGTTAAATACCCAAACAATTACCCATTAAAGTGAATATGTCTTAGTGGCGTAACGGTTAACACTTTGAACTAATAATCAAGAGGTTTCGGGTTCGAATCGAGTCAGGCATAACTACCTATTTTGTATTTTTTAAATTTTTAAATTTATATTTCAACGGTTAGAAACATTTGAAGCCTCAAAAAAAATCAATTTAACTTGACCTATCGGCTTCTAGACAAAAAAAAAAATCTATTATCGTCAGCGGATTTATATTACACAATTTTTTCTTTCTCTTTATAAGAATAACTACAGTGATCCGATCAGCCTAACACGCCGGCAAAAATAACAGATATGGACATAGGTTTTAAGTACTCATGAGCTCGACAAAACAAAAAAAACTCCCCATCGACCGGCGTTTAACGACACCAAAGCACTGTGTAATATTATATAAAGCCGTGACACGACGTGACAGCGTTTCTCGGTGATGTCAAAAAAAAAAAAATGAGTTGGCCGTCGAAACGACTTTGCCCTTAAAAAAAAACGTCACAAAAAACTCGTACCTATCGTC